CCAAGTCCTTGGGCCCTGCACCCACATGGGAGACCAGGTGAAGCACCTGGCTTCTGCCTTTGGATCAGCGTGGTGCGCCTGCCGCAGTGGCCATTGGGGGGTGAACCAATGGAAAAGGAAGATCTTTCTCTCTGTCTCTCTCTCTCTCTCACTGTCCACTCTGCCTGTCAAAAAAAAGAGTAGGAACTTGGGGCCAGCACAGTGGTGTAGTGGTTAAGCTGCCGCTTGCAGTGCCAGCATCCCATATGGGCACTGGTTCGAGTCCTGGCTGCTCCACTTCTGATCCAGCTCTCTGCTATAGCCTGGGAAAGCAGAAGAAGATAGCCCAAGTTCTTGGGGCCCTGCACCCACGTGGGAGACCTGGAGGAAGCTCCTGGCTCCTGGCTTTGGATTGGCCTAGTTCCGGCCATTGCAGCCACCTAAGGAGTGAACCAGCAGATGGAAGACCTTTCTCTCTCTCTCTCTAACTCTGCCTCTCAAATAAATAATTAAATATGTAAAAAATAGAGTAGGAATTCTTTTACTCCTTATTTCCTATAGTTTTTGACAGTTGATAGTCTTCAAAATTTTCAAAAGGACAATGCGCATACTTCTTTTATGATGGGTAACTGAGAAGGATGGTTTTCTTCCATAGTGAGCCTGAAAGGAAACTTGGAAAAATGAAAAATTTGTGCACAGCCAAGCTAGATATAATTCCTAACATTACAATCTACACTTGAATGACTTAGAAGATAGCATTTAACCTATTTGACTTATAAAATGGGAAGGATAACGTCTATCATTCTTAGAATGGTTATGGAACTCTAAGAGGAAAATAAATAGGAAAGTACTCTGAAAAGTATACAGAGGTATAAGGACATACATTTTGAGTATTAATACAATTCTGTGTTTCTGGCATTTCATATGTTTCTGTGTAATTACCGTTATTACCAATGGTTAGATGTTATAGTGTACTTATTTATTCAAATTATATTTTGAACTTGTGTTTTATTACAGACATCGTGCAAGGCATTTCAAGTAAGAAAACATACCAGATGCATTTTTTTCCCTCAGAGTTGTCTCAATCTATTCAGTTGCATCAGTAGGTTAACTAGCTCTTGGTGGTCAGGAAAGAGTGGTGGCTGACCTGGGAATCCAACCACCATTTTTTATCTGGTAATTAAGAAATTATATTTACTATATATGTGGGAGTCATGTCAGTAAAATGTCAGAACAAGCAGCTCTAAATACTTATTCTTCCACAGAAGCATTGAAAAACAAGTATAAGCTGTCAGAAACAACTTTGTTGGAACTCACAAAACAAGCAAGTATTGACAGCAACCAAGCAAATATAGAATAAAAAAAGTCAACCTAAATGGTAAGAAAATCTTGTAGCATTTGTATTCTCTCTTCCCCACCCCTACCAATTCTCAGCAGTGGTCTTGAAGATGGAAGGCCCTATTTCCAGTGTAGGACCTTGGTTTCTGGTTCTGGAGGGAGCAGAGCAGACCTCATCTGTAAATTATTGTTTTCTCACCTCTTTGGGGACTACCTATAGGTCTTATGCAAGGTACTTGTATTTGTTTTGCTTAACTTGGAACTCACTTGGTGTAGAAAAGTGGCAGTCATTGCTTTAAAACCTTATAAGGTAGCTGAAAAAGCTTCTGAGTTCTGGGCCAAAAGATTACAGTTGAGACATGCTGGGTATGTCAGTTACCTTTTGGTTACTGTGACAAATACCTGAGAAAAGCTATTTAGGAAGTAAGGTTTACTTTGGCTGTTGATTTTTAGGGAGGTCCACAGTGAAAGATCAAGCAGCCCGACTGGTTCAGATATATGGTGAGGGCAGAGAATGGCAATGCTAGAGAGTATGTGGAAGAAGGATGTCAAGGTGAGCCAGGAAGCAGAGAGAGAGCGTAGGCCTGTTTCAGGCTTTTATAAGAAACCTTCTCACGGTGTCTCCCTACTAAGAGGATCTCCCATTAGGCTTGCTTCCTACACACCACAATTGGACTAAATTTGTACCTTTCCACTGCCATCAACACAAGATTCAAGGGCTTAAACATTAAACATCTTCATGAATTATGGAGTCATATACCATTCAAACCATAGCATTCTACCCGTTTTCCCAAAATTCCTGCCCTTCTCATAGTCAACATAAAATGAGTCCATCTCCCAGTCTTAATGTTTCAGCATTGCTCAAAAAGTCAAAGTCAAAGTCTTATGTGAGATTCAAGGCAAACTCCAGCTGTGAGCAGCTGTAAAATCAGACAAGCAGCAAGCTGCATACTTCTAAGACACAATGGCAGGACAGGCACAGAGTCTACACTTCCATTCCAAAAAAAAAAAAAAAAAAAAAAGGATTGCTCAGACAACAAAAAGATCAAATCCATCAGAGCAAACATTAAATCCTAAAGCTCCATGTCTGACATCCTAGGCACACTGTAGCAGGGGCAACTCCATCCCTTTAGCTTTGCTTCAGTTCTCATAAGTTAGTCTCATTCCTGCAGCTGCTTAGGCATTGCCATGCTAGCAACTCTTTAGTACTTTTGAGCCTACATTTCTGCTTGGTATTACCATAAGATGGTGGGGGGGGGGGGGAGCTCTCTGCAGGGGTTCCACCCCTGCAATGGGTTTCTGCTTGGGCTCCCAGCTTGTTTAAGACTTCCTTTGAACTCTAAGTGGAGGAGGTTTCCATACCTCCAAAGCTCTGTTGGGTTGGTCTCTGCCCACGTGGTTGCTCTCTGAGGATGCACACTGATATCTATGGCTCTCCAAGGTTTATATGCCATGCTGATTGTAGCTTTCCCCAGTGGTCTTCACTGCCCCTTCTGTCTCATAACTTCACTAGGCATCACCCAATCTGGGGCTCAACCTTATGGTGCAACTCTGCCTGGCCTCATAGGCTTTCCTTTGCAATCTCAGCAGAAGCCTTCATGACCCCAGAACTTCTATGTTCTAAACAACTGCAAAACCAGTGGACACTTATGCCACTTATCTGCTGCTAATATGAGACACTTCTGGTCCCACTTGAACCATGACTGCAGCCCTGTAGTGCTTTGTTGGGCAACTACAAGGAAATAAATTCTTGGGGAAGTCTTGTGTAAGCTTGCTGAAAATGCTCTGGAGTTTCAAAAATCAATTATTGGGGCTGGCACTGTGGTGTAGAGGGTAAAGCTGCTGCCTGCAGTGCTGGCATCCCATATGGGCGCAGTTTTATGTCTCGGCTGCTCCACTTCTGATCCAGCTCTCTGCTAAGGCCTGGGAAAGCAGTAGAAGATGGCCCAAGTGCTTGGGCCCATGAACCTGTGTGGGAGACCCAGAAGAGGCTCCTGGCTTCGGATCGGTGCAGCTTCTGCCGTTGCGGCCAACTGGGGAGTGAACCAGTGGATGAAAGACCTCTCTCTCTCTCTCTCTGCTTCTCCTCTCTTTGTGTAACTCTGAATTTCAAATAAATAAATACATCTTTAAAGGTCTCTGGGCCAATAATGAGAGGGAGAACTTCAAAGAAGTGCCTTTGGGGTTTTTCTCCCAAAACTAGCACAGGGCTCTCTTATGTGCACTACTCTGTTTAGCAGAAGGTGTTTCCACTGTGTACTCCTATCTGAAACATACTTTTCCATGGCTTATTCTCTCATTAGGCTGTGAATTTTTAAAATCTTTCTGCTCTGCTCCTTTTAAAAAATTATTTATTTATTTGAAAGGCAGAGTTAGAGAGGCAGAGGCAGAGAGAGAGAAAGGTCTTCCATCTGCTGGTTCACTCCCCAAATGGTTCCAACGGCTGGAGCTGGGCTGATCTGAAGCCAGGAGCCAGGAGCTTCTTCCAGGTCTCCCACATGGGTGCAGGGGCCCAAGGACTTAGGCCATCTTCTACTGCTTTCCCAGGCCATAGCAGAGAGCTGGATCAGAAGTGGAGCAGCTGGGACTAGAAACAGTGCCCATATGGGATGCCGGCACTGAAGGTGGTGGCTTTATCCACTATGCTACAGCGCTGGCCCCTGCTCTGCTCTTTTTTGCTCCTAATTCTCACTGTAAAAATTGCTAACAGCAGCCAATAACACCCACACTGCAGCCTGATTGCTGTGATGCTTGAAATCTCTGCCAAATGAGTCAACTATCTCTGAGCTTGACCTTCAGCAAACCTTCATCAGAATTTCCCAGAATGCTCTGCTTACATCATTTTAGGCTTGCTCTTGCAACCTTTTACAAGAAATCAATTCCAAAGGCTACTCCATATCTTCAGATATAGTTTATCATAACAATCTCACTCTTCACTACCAATTTTCCATATTAGTTAGCTTTTTGTCACTGTAACAAATACCTGAGAGAAGTTACTTATGAGGGATGTAATTTTATTTTGGCTTGTGGTTTTGGAGGTTCAAGGTCTAAGATTGGGCAGGCTCCATTAGTTCAGCCTTGTGGTGAGGGCAGAGGATGGCAACGGCAGAACACTTGTGGAGTAACGGTCACAAGGTCAGCCGGGAAACAGAGAGGCTGAGCCTGACTAAGGCTTTCATTGCCAACTTTCTCATGAGATATACCTCCCAGGGACCCATCTAATGGCTTCTCACTAAGGCCATCTCCTGAGGGGTACGAGCACAGCCATGGTGCGTCCAGGCCAGGCCCGGGGGCTCCGCACCCGCAGCTGCCCCCGGGCGCCCCTGCTTGAGCCGCGGCAGAGTGGAGCCCGCGAACTAATCCGAGCCAGGGCCCGGAGCCAGCCAGCGGGTGTCCCGGGGATGGCAGCGCGGGGAACCCAGCGCGTGCGCACGTGGCCGTGGCCCCGGCCGCCGCCATGGAGGACAGTGGCCCCGCGGGGGGCGCGGCGGTAGGGGCTCCAGTCCCCAGACCGGGCGGTGCGGGCGACAAGGGCCCCCGGTGGTGCCAAGGAGGGGTCAGCATGAAGCGCGCCTGGCTCCAGGAGGCGCAGGGTTGGCTGCAGCACCTGCAGGAGGACTTCATCTACAACCTGCAGGCGCTGGAGGAGTGGGACTATGAGCTGGAGCATGTGTACAGCTTACCGCCATGCTGCTGCTGTGCCCAGGGCCGGCCATGAGCAAACTGCTGTCGCGCAAGGAGGGGGAGTGGATCCTGGAGCAGCTCCCGTGGCCACCACGGCCCCCCAGCAAGAGGACCATTGGGAACCAGATGGAGAGAGACCAGGCTGCCAGCGATGATGCCAGCGGCCTCCTCTCCAGAGGGCCCTGCGAGAGGGGCAAAGAAGATGGCGCCCAGAGGAAGTAAGATGGGTGGAACTCAAAGTTGTTTGTCACTAAAGCTGATTGGCTGCGCAACATTAGGGAAAGTGATGACAACTGATGACGAGTGTATAGACATACGGCTAGTCCTATAAGAATCTCCCTGTAAAATGATCTTTTAAGTGATTGGTTGGTCCTTATGCCCGGCCCCAATGACTCTGCAGTTTTGTGCTTTAAAAGGCTCTGTTACCCACGAAGTAAACGAGTCCTTGCTTGACTTGGCTCCCTGCTGCGGCAGATGTCTCCAGGTTCGTGAGGCTGGGAAACAGGTGAGCAGCGCACTTACCTTTCCCCGGACCCAGTCCATCCTCCTACGGGTGGACTAAGACCCTGCAATCTCCTAAATACCAGTTTCTATCCACCTAGCACTATCAACATAAGATGCTGGGGTTTAAAATTTAAATGTCTGCATTAGTTTGGTAGCCATGTCCTATGCATGGAGAAACTTCAAAAAAGTCCATTGAAAATGGAGTTAAGCGATAAATTTACTCCAGTGCCAAAAATTTATAAACCCAGGCATAGTGTTTTATAACATATTTAAAAAAATATTTACTTATTTCAGAGGCAGAATTACAGAGAGAGGGAGAGACAGAAGGTCTTCTGTCTGTTGGTTCACTTCCCAAATGGCCATAACAGCCAGAGCTGAGCGTATTTGAAGCCAGGAATAAGGAGCTTCTTCTTCCGGGTCTCCTAGGTGGGTGCAGGGGCCCAAGGAGTTGGGCCATCTTTCACTGCTTTCCCAGGCCATAGCAGAGAGCTGGATAGGAAGTGGAGCAGCTGGGACTCAAACTGCTGCCCATATGGGATGTTGGCCCTGCAGTCAGAGGCTTAGCATACTACACCATAGCGCTGGCCCCTATAATTCCTTTTTCATTGAACTTTTTGAAGACCTTTTATATGCATGAATTTCAAAAATGTTTTATTGGGGCTGGTATTATGGCATAGCAGGTTCAGCCGCTGCCTGCATTGCTAGCATTCCATATGGACCTGGGAAAGCAGTGGAGGATGGCCCAATTCCTTGGGCCTCTGAATCCACATGGGACACCTGGAAGAAGCTCCTGGCTCCTGATGTGGGCCTGGCAAGGCCCTGGCAATGTGGCCATCTGGTTAGTGAACCAGAGAATGGAAGGTCTCAGTTTCTGTCTCTTGCTCTCCCTCTCTATAGCTCTCCCTTTCAAATAAATAAAATAAATATTCTAAAAAAAGTTTCCCACAAACTTTTTGAGCTGCCCTCCTACAATAGACTGTCTAAAGTATTGTAAGAAAAGCAAAGGAGAGAATTTATTTGGGAGATTCAGATATCTCAAAGCACCTTTGTATAATGAAGAATTGGAATAGCAACATGTATGCTCAGGGCAGGATGTTTGCTCTGAACAAGATTTTAGATATCCCAACACTTTCATCTCTGATTGATCTCTGGACTCAATGTAAGGAAGAAGTAAAGGGTAATGCAGGGTTGTAAATAATCAGTCAAATTTAGATTCAATAAGCATAGAATGGGCTGATGGGAGCAGTGCTGTGGCACAGTGGGTTAAAGCCCTGGCCTGAAGTGCAGGCATCCCATATGGGTGCTGGTTCAAGACCCGGCCGCTCAATTTCTGATCCGGCTCTCTGCTATGGCCTGGGAAAGCAGTAGAAGATGGCCCAAGTCCTTGGGCCCCTGCACCGACGTGGGAGACCCGGAAGAAGCTCCTGGCTCCTGGCTTCAGAGCGGCACAGCTCTGGCCGTTGAGGCCAACCAGGGAGTGAACCAGCGGATGGAAGACCTTTCTCTCTCTCTCTCTCTGTCTCTCTGCCTCTCCTCTTTCTTTGTAACTCTGACTTTCAAATAAATAAATAAAGCTTTAAAAAATCACACAGCATACACATAAACAGGTACAGTCACTGGGAAAAAACTGACGAAAACCATCTCTACCAAAGCTCAGACATAGACATAAACAAAGATAAAACAACTGGGTGAGATATGCTCATGGAATAAAAGAAATCAAGTGTGAAATGTGTGGGAAACTATAAAATTATACAGAAAAAAAGAACATCAATACATAGAAATCACCCACCCCTCAAAGAAACAGAAATTCAGGAGCTGAAAAATACAAAAATGGAAAGGAATACTTTACCAGATAGGCTTAAGGGCACATCTGAGTAAGTAAGAGAAAGAATCAGAGAACTTGAAAACAGGAAAATTGCAAGGTTAAATTCTGAAGAACAGAAGGAAAAATAATAATAAAATGGAACAGAGCCTAAGAGAACTGTGGAATGCTACAAAGTAGACCAAGATACAGATAGTAAAGGTATAGCAAGGAGAGAAAAAATGGAAATGGCAGAAAGAATATTTGCACATTTAATGGCCTAAAATTTCTATAATTAGTTGAAAGCCATTAATTTACATATCCAAGAAGCCAAACAAATCCCAAGGATAGATGGAAAGAGGACTACAATAAAACTCATTAGAAACAACCTGTTGATAGACAAAAGAGAATCTTGGAAACAACAGTGGAGATGCAACGTGTCACACACAAGAGGGTCTCAGCAAGATTAATAGTTGATTTCTCATCAGAAACAGGAAGCCAGGGGTGGCCTTGTGGCACAACAGGTTGAGTTTCTGCTTGTATCTCCAGCATTCCATATTGGAATGCCGGTTTGAATCCTGGGTACTCTGCTTCCAATCCAGCTCCCTGCTAATGTGCCTGGCAGGCAACAGATTATGGCGTAAGTACTTGGGTTCTTGCCACCCACATGGGAGACCTGGATGGAATTCCTGGTTCCTGCTTCAGTCTCAGCTAGTCCTGTATGTTGTGGGCATTTGGGAGAGTGAACCAATGGATGGAAGATTCTCTCTCTCTCTCTCTGTCTCTGTCCTCTCTCCCTCTTTTTTTGTCATTATGCCTTTTGAATGAATGAATGAATAAATAAATCTTTAAAAAACAGACCATGGAAACCAGAAGACAGTGAGAAAATATTTAAGGTGGAGAAGGAAAAAGAAAACTTGCAACAAAGAATTCTATATCCTGCAAATTGATCTTTTAAATTGAAGGTGAAATTAAGACATTCCAAATAAAAGAAAATCTGAAAGCACTTGCTATCAATGGCTTCCCTATAAGAAAGATGAGTTTGTCAGGTTTAAATGATTGCAACTTGAAGCCATATAAAGGAATTGTGAAATCTAGTAAATGCAACCATGTAGGTTAACACAAAAGTCAGCATTATTTCATTTCAGTTTGTAACTCCACATTTCCTACATAATTAAAAATAAAAATACATAAAATAATTATAAACCTAAGTTATTGGATACAGTGCATAAAACCAAAATTTGTGTCAACTATAGAAAGCGGAAGTAAACCTCTATAGGAGAAGAGTTTTTATATCCCGTTTAAGCTAATGTGGTATCAATCTAAACTAGATCATTAGAAACTTAGGATGATGGAGTGTCTGGCACAGCAGTTAAGCATATATCCACATCCCATGTCAGAGTGCCTAGATTTGAATTCCAGTTTTCCTTTCAGCTTCCTGCTTATGTGTACCCTGGGAGGTGGTGGTGATGGCTTAAGTAGATGGGTCATCTGGATTAAGATCCTGGCTTTGGTCTGGCCTAGCCCTGGGTATTGTGGGCATTCGGGCATTCGGGGTGTGAACCAGCAAATGGGACATCTCTATATGTCTGTGTGTCTTTCAAATAGATCATAAAAACAGAAGAAATTTAGGATGTTAGTTGCAATCCCCATGGAAAACAGTAGGAAAATACCTAATAATAGATAGGAGATGGAGCAAGATGGTAAAATTAGACTTTCCAGTGATTGTCCCCTTGCAGAAACATCAATTTGACCAACTATGCACACATGAAAATACCCACACTAGAACTAAGGAAACCTGGTAAGATTTAAAAGTATTTGATTTGGCACAATAATAAGAAAAGATTAATTGAAGAGGGAAGGAAAGACAGTTTTATATTACCTGTATCATGCCTCTTTCAATCTTGGAAGCACAGTGCAGAGGGAAATATAGTCTACTTTGGGGAAAGAGAGGGGAATAAATATAGAACTTTGGAACCCACATATCAGGCCAACTATGGTAAAATGCAGAACTGGACAGACCCCTATGGCCCCTGACTAAAGACTATCCATGGACTGTCTATAAACCTATCCTGGTGCCAGATGGCAATTGCAGCCACAATGAGGTGGACTTGAATTTTGGTCTGTATCACTATTAACCCACTACAACGGCCTTGGGATCATAATACCCAAGTAGCTATGCAACAGGTAGATTTCAGTGCCTGGAGACTGGGATTCCAGCCTGGCATGATACAGTCTTGATGACTAAGGGAATTTAGACTAGTGTGCTATAGTATATGTGCTATGGAAGTCCTGAGTGCTTCCTAGCACTGCAATGGCTGCAGTGGACAGGATTAGGGATTACAGAAGAACTTCTAGCATTTCTGGACAGGCTATTGCTGAAGGATATTCTCAGATGAAACAAGACTGCAAAAGTTGGGAAAATATTTTTTAACATGCAGACATTGACATGTGACCACAAGGATCATGAACAATCAAGGAAATGGGTTAGGACAAATGGACAAAACAAGGTGTCAGAGACTGAACCTAAAGAGATAAAGTTGTAAGATATGAAAACAACTGTTTTAAGGAAGCTTAATGAATTTCAAAAAAATCAGAGAAATTTAACAGAAAGATTGAAATAATAAATAAGTGAAACAAATCCTAGAGTTGAATAATAAAATGAACAAAATAAAAAAGCAAGAATCAGCAGCAGAACTCACCATACAGAAGAATGTTAACTCAAAGACAGGTTATTTTGAAATATATAGTCAGAAGCAAAAAGGGAATTAAAAAAGTTAAGAAGACTCATAGACTTTATGGGGCAGCATCAAAAAAGCTAATGTATGAAACATTAGCATTCAAGAGGAAGTAGAGAAAGATCAAAATGATAGTTTAAAGAAATAACTGAAGAAAATTTTCTAAATTTGGAGAAAGTTATAAATAACTAGATATAAGAAGGTAAAAGATCTCAAATCATATTCAATTCAAATAAGACTACCTCATGACATATTATAACCAAGCTGTCAATGATCAAAGATAAAGTGGATACTGAAGGTAACAAAAGAAGCAAATCACATATAAGGCAGTTCCAATATGCCTAGCAGCAGACTTCTCAGCAAAAATAACTTTTGAAAAATACAAAACAGGAAATGTGAATCAGATCAAAATGGCATACTACAAAAAGCAACTAAACACAAAAGAAAGCAGTAATGGAATGAGTGAGGGACAAAAATACACAAGATATACAGAAAACAAACAGTAAAATCGCAGAAGTCCTTCCTTATTAGTAATTATCTTAAATGCAAATGGATTAAACTGCAACTGCACATGCAGAGATTGGCATATTAGATAAAAAAACATGATTTCCTCTAAGAATTGGATTCACAGTATTTGACATGTACTGCTTTTAGAAAAACGATTTAAAAAATTTTTTATTCATTTGAAAGATAGAGTGGGTATTGTGGCATAGAAGATTAAACCTCCACCTTTAATGTTGGTGTCCCATATGGGCGCTGGTTCAAGTCCTGGCTGCTCCACTTCCCATCCAGCTGTCTGATAATGTGCCTGGGAAAGCAGTGGAAGATGGTCTGAGTACTCGGGCCCCTGCAACCAACGTGGAACCTGGAAGAAGTTCCTGGCTCCTGGTTCTGGCCTGGCCCAGCTCTGGCTGTTGTGGTCATTTGGGAAGTAAACCAGAGGATGGAAGA